CTTTCTTTCTTTCTTTCTTTCTTTCTTTCTGAGACAGGGTCTCTACCTTTTGCCTGGGCTAGAGTGCAGTGGTGTCATCATAGCTCACTGCAGCTTCAACTCCTGGGCTCAAGGGATTGTGCTCTTTAGCCTCCCAAAGTGCTAGGAATGAGCCACTGTAGCTGGCTTTGCCTGAGATTTTTACCAGGAGTGATGTAGTTCAACCTATTCTAGAAGAAATGCGCAAACCAGGAATCTAAAGAAGTGTATTTTTTGAAAGAAGAAAACTTGAAATTAGCAAATAAACAAATAAAAGGAGAGGAGGATCACAGAGTTGGCCATTTACCTGCATGATCCATATTCTGTAGTGCAGCAGTGGTGAGGTACTGACGAGAGCTTCGAATTATACTTTGATTGAGGTTGTCATTCAGGATGAATTGGCTTTTGAGGATCCTCATATATCTGTATTTCACATTCCTCGTGAAATTCATAGGTACTGACCGGGGCTGTGCTGATCTGGGCTGTACTGACGTGGGCTGGATGCTTTCTAAGACCATTGACACAAGTTCAGATTGTGGTCTCCATATAAACACAGATGATTTATACACTCTAGTACAAGCATAGAAAATAGCTCTGGAAGGGATGCTATGAATATTCCAATCCAGGTGAGGAACAGAAAGAAGTGAAATCACCCAGTCAGCAGTAGAATTGATTCTGATTCTGGGATTATCTTGTGGTCATGTCTTTTTAAACTTTGATTCCTCACACGAAAGTTTTGTTGTTTTTTCAAAAACGAGGTTGTTAATGCAACTTTTTCATTTTTCACTGAAGGTTTCTAAGTGACCAGGAAGACTACCAGTGTTCCTCATGTGTAGTTGCAAATGAATGCATTCAGCAAAAAAGGAATACATGAAAAATTATATATGTCGCAGAGGGTGCAGGTCTACAACCTTTTGGAAAAGTGCTATGTGTCAATAGCTTCACAAATCCTCATGGCTCTCTGAAATTCTACTTCTAGGAATCTATTCTAAGTAAGTAAATGGTGGCAGAAATGACAATGTATTGATTTAGATGTTTATCGTTGCATTACTTATATGGGCAAAAACTAGCACTCTAAAACGTTCTTGATGTTGCTAAGTGAAAAAAGCTGGATATAAAATTGCATACAGTGTGATCCTAATAATGCTAGACACATTCATATGTGTGTACACACATAGAAAAGTTTTAAGGAAAACTATCATAGTGCTGGTAGTGATAGACTCAGTATATAATTGCTTTCTCCTGAAAGTCTAAAAGTCACACAACTTTTACAATATGGCCCCCAAATAAGCCCATGAGTAAGTATTCTAGATCTAGGCCACTACTAATCTCTCCATTCTGGAGAAGGATAAAAATTAACTTGCCTTCCTTATAATTACTTGACCCATGTTTGGTTTCCCTCTTGTTATTCTGACTCAGGTTCTGTTTTCCCCTATATTCTATTGTCCCCACTTACCTAAAACTACAAAGCAAGGATATTATTGTGCTTGAGGACTTACCTTCTTTTTTGTCATGTGGAATGGCCTCCAGGTCATCATCAGTGATGGACTGATCTAAATTGAACCGTCTCTTCTTCAGAACTTTCCCCTTGGCTGTCACTAGCACCACACTCTCCTGGACAGTACACCCTGATCCCTTAGAGGTTTCACAGGCACTCAGACACATGAATTGATCCACACAGTCTTTATTATGTGAGCTATGGCTTGCATCATAGAAGGATTTCTGTGAGGAAGGACAGTAGAGACTGAGAGGCTGCCACGGCCATGGAATGAGACTCTTTTTGGTAGGAGCGATATTCAACAGACTTAATGAGAAGGGTCTTTATTTGGGTCTTGGTTAACTCTTGTTTCATTGGTCCTCCCTCCCTCCTTTCCTCCCTTGCTCCCTCCCTCCTCCTCTCTCTGCTTTCATTCATCCAGTATGAAAGGATGTGATTTCTCGGGCAGACTTTTCCATCCATTTACATGCTCAAAAATGAGATGTTGTAACTAAATAGGTTGACAATGATCTTATTGAATGGTAGCCTTCTAATTAGTTCCCTCTAAGGAAGTTAAACATCTACTTGATGATGTTCAAAATATTTTAGATACTCCTTTGAAGACAGCTGTTAAAGCCAGTATTTGTGGTCTCCAAACAAATAACACAGTTTGATGAGTGACTGTAAATTTTTTTTTTTTTTTTTTTTTGAGACAGAGCCTCAAGCTGTTGCCCTGGGTAGAGTGCTGTGGTATCACAGCTCACAGCAACCTCCAACTCCTAGGCTCAAGCGAGTCTCCTGCCTCAGCCTCCCAAGTAGCTGGGACTATAGGTGCCCACCACAACGCCTGGCTATTTTTTGGTTGCAGCCATCATTGTTGTTTGGCGGGCCCAGACCAGATTAGAACCCACCAGCTCAGGTGTATGTGGCTGGTGCCTTAGCCGCTTGAGCCACAGGTGCTGAGCCTGTAAATTTTTCACTATCCATTGTCCTGCTTCCTCTGCCTCAGCTTCATGGGCCATTATGTTTGGAGACCTAAGGTCTGTTGGTGTCAGAGAGGGTGACCACAACATACCAGGCAGGTTAAGAGCCAGACTCCTGGTGAAATGGCCTGAAGAGGCTGTCCCAGGATGGCATAACTAACATCCTGATGAAACCTAACCCAGTAGACTCCAGCTCCTGGGGACTTGGGATAATTCTGCTCTATTCTGGAAAAAGCTGGTGGGCATGAAGAACACCGTCAAGTATTAGTGTAGAGAGGCAGAGGTCTTGCTTATAATGAAGGAAAGCAGGTTTATGGACCTCTAGTGAGGATAAAACAAAAGCATCTAAGATTCACACCATTGCTATTCTCTTCTGATGAAGACATTACTGCGTGAGAATAGCAACCCCATAAGAATTACAGTCATCTGCTCACCTGATTCAGACAGAGCTGGTCAAAGGCAGAACTGTGTTCTTCATTTTCACTGTTGAAATAAGATGATGAAAATATAATTCTGTTTGTTATTTCACTCTGGTCCCTAAGCAATGTATTTTAATGACCATGTTAACATTGGGTAACACCACACACACACACACACGGCCATTATTGTCATCTTTGAAAATTAAGGGCTTCTATACATACACATACATATGGTAATTCATACCTCTCTAATTTGGAATTAGTGATTATCAGGACAGGCCTTGAACTTTACCCCTGTTTTATCTACAGAAATTAGGGTTGGCTAATAAATTGAAGAACTTTGATTTCAGAGGAAAATGCTAAGCTCCTGAAGAGAAAAGGAATACTTTTGAAGCATCTCATTTTTGTTTTAACCGAATAGATCATATGCTACACATTGTTTTCAAGTATTCACTCAAACAGATTCAATAATTCATATTTGGTAAAATATCCAGACAACATTTTGACAGCCTAGATTGTGTTGGTATTTAGTAAAGATGAACATCATGTTAGTTTAAAAGGTTCCATAATTCTAACTTTTCATTCATTTACCTCTTTTCTGTGTCTGAATGATATTGGGCTGTGAGTCTGCATGAATCAGGGTGGTCAGATTGCTGTGAAGCCATTTTCTACTGCCAGTTGAGATCAAGTTTTCCTGACAATGGATTCTCTCTCAGGCAGCCCACTGAAATCCATTTTTGTTTCAGAGCATGTGAAATCAACCGAGGCTGTGTCTAAGTTGATGTTGAAATTCACATAGGACTCAACAGACCTAAAAAGTAATTTTTCTAAAACAGCCATCTCCCTGTGATCTCAGTTTAACATGATGCTTAGGTTTTCGGGGTCTTCTATAAACCTACTCTAATACCAGGGATAGGATACATCTTTAGCCTCTGCCTCTTCAGCCCTTCTGGCCACTGTAATGTCTTGCCAGATTCTGATGATCCTTGAACTCTTTGTTAAGTCACAGGAGATAGAATCTTATTTCTTACCTGTAGTAGTCTTCAAACAGGTCCGGAACTCTGGCCATCTTATCTTCTGTAACAGAGAACACTATTGGCTGTCTCCTGAGCCAGCCTCTGAATCAGATGCCTGCAAAGAGAGACACCCACACTTTGTGCTTCTTGAGAAATTTCATTGAATGACTTAGTTCATACTCAGAATTTTCCCCATTCTTCTTTTCACCTCCCTGAATTGCTAATTTTTTGTAGATAGTGATTCTTTGAATTATTTGTATGTACATCTCTCTCCTTTATTAGATTGTACACTTTTTTCTGTCTACGTCTTTTAGAATGATTTGTTTATTGTGATATTCTTTATGTGCCAAACCCAAGGTCTTGCACATAGTAGATATTCAATGAAAGTTTGAATCAGTTAAAAAATAACCCCAGAAGAATGAGGTATTTCCTTACATACTAGCTGGAGAGAGAGAGTAAGAAATGTTCAGTTTTCTCCTAATAGTTTTTGGTAGTAGAGGTTCCTTCCCAAGGGAAGTCTCAGCAGTACCCACTGACGCCCTCACAGGAAGCTAGTCCTGCGGTCCCTCAGTTCATCAGTAAAGCAGAGAATCATTTTCTGAAATCTGACTGTGATTCTAGCTCACACACCAAACCAGGGAGAGATAAGAAATGAAAGAAAGGAGAGGCTGTGGTTTTAGAAAAGGCAGGCAGTCTGAGAAAACAACAGCTGAAGAGAAAAGCAATAAAATACTTTAAGAGCCAAAGATGTGAAAAGCACGATACCTTTGCTGACTCAAGCGCCAATGAAATGACTCAATGACTCCCTCTCTGGCTGGAAACTTAAGCCTGAGTCAGGCTTCTGGGCCTTTTGTAGTCTTCCTAATGTGGGCGTGGCCACAAGGGGAGTGTGTCAAGGGGAATTCAGTTCTGTTCTGTACTTTCCTATGGTCATTTAAATCGATACTGGCTAAAATAATGATAGATGGCATACGTGATAGTATTGTTGTTTGCAGGAAGTTATTAACTTGTTTCATTTATTTACTGTTTTGCTGTATATGATCACAAGTAGTCTTAGAAAAAGGGAAGAAGAGCCGGAAACTTATGAACTTTCTAAAGATATATAGTGGGAAGGAAGGGAGAAATTCTGAAATCACAAGTATAGGTGGCTAGATTGGGAGAGGAACTTAGCAACTGCAGTTAGTATTTTGGTTTAATTTGTTGATTGTTCCCACAGGCTGCGTGTGAATTGGTAGAACACTTGACTTCCCCTGGCATTTAGTGAGAGGCATTCCAGGGAAAAGGAGCCATCTTTTCAGAAGAGGGTGGTTTGCTTGGATAAGGCATGAATCACTCTGAGTATGGGGTGACATCCTCCTGGTTAGGGCAAGGTAGAGGAGAGAAAAGCGATATTCTGATCACAAAAAGGGATACTTTTACTCCTCTGAGTATTGTCAACACACTTCCTACAGGGCGACAGGACTCCAGCCCAGATCTCACAACCCTAGCCTTACAGAAAAGTGGCCTTCTACCGGAGCCCAAAGAAAAGTCTGCTCTGCTCTAGAATAAACACAAGGTGTGTGAGGACTGCTGTGGACTCCACGAGGTATGGGCTAGGCTCCCATCAGAAGCCAGTGCCTACCTTTGGGAATGGAGGTTGAGAGAAAAGATGGCATGGAGTACCAATGAAACTGCATTCAGTGCTGCCTGGTTGTTATTGTTAAAGTCTTTCTCAATTTCCCGAGGCTATCCTAGTTCAGGCAGTAGAATACCAGATTCTTGGCAAATGGATGTTTCCTGGTTGGAGTTTAAGCCATGTAAATTAATTAATTAATTAATTAATTAATTTATTGAGACAGAACCTCAAGCTGTTGCCCTGGGTAGAGTGCTGTGATGTCACAGCTCACAGCAACCTCCAGCTCTTGGACTTAAGCGATTTTCTTGCCTCAGCCTCCTGAGTAGCGGGGACTACAAGTACCCACCACAACCTGCTAATTTTTTGGTTATAGTTGTCATTGTTGTTTGGCAGGCCCGGGCTGGATTCAAACCCACCAGCTCTGGTGTATGTAGCTGGCACCTTAGCTGCTTGAGCTACAGTCACCAAGCCAAGCCATGTAAATTTTCAATAAAAGAAATGAGCCAGGTAAAGTCACACGTACCTGTAGTCCTAGATACTTGGGAGGATGAGGCAGGAGGATTGCTTGAGCTTGGAGGTTTGAGGCTGCTGTGGGCTATAATCATACCACTGTACTCCACCCTGGGCACTGTACTCCACCCTGTCTCAAAAAAAAAAAAAAAGAAAGAAAGAAAGAAAGAAAGAAAGAAAGAAAGAAAGATAGAAGAAAAGGGTAGAAGAAAGAAAGAAGATAAAGAGAAAATGAAGACTGAAACTAGTATAAACAAGTAAAACGAGCACGTAACTGGGATTAAAGTGGCTTGTGTGAGTTGGATGAAGTATTCTCTCTAGTCCCATTTACCTCTAAAAATAAGGCTTTGGTTAGATGATCATAAGATCTATTTCAGGGGAAAAATCTATGACTCTGATTCTAATGCCCAGTCTAGTTTCTCCTGACTTGGTTTTCTAATATAATAGTTATAGCAAGAGCCGGAGAAGTAGCTGGCACCTAGAAGTAGGGGATAGAAGTGCAGGACCAGACTAGGGCAGAAGCCTGGCTATAGTATCGATAGTGATGGCAGCCAACTCTCTACAGTTCTGCTTACCTTGGTTATCCTTCAGATAACTCAGAAATGTTAATCCTGGTCCTTTCCTCTGCCTCCTGAGGATCTTGTGAGGACTATTACTGAGGAACAATTGCAGAGATCATCATGAATGTGGCTGCTATGGAGATGCAACTAAACAAAAATAATAACAACACTAATGATGGTTCAGTCACTTAGGACCTGTACAGTCATCATTGTACACCTTACTTCACCAACGAAAATATTGTTCTTATGAAAATATTGATTTGAGGCTCAGCACCTGTAGCATAGTAGTTACGGTGCCAGCCACATACACCAAGGCTGGTGGGTTCGAACCTGGCCCCGGGCCAGCTAAAGCAATAATGGCAACTGCAACAATAACAACAAAATAGCTGGGCATTGTGGTGGGCACCTGTAGTCCCAGCTGCTTGGGAGGCTGAGGCAAGAGAATCACTTAAGTCCAAGAGTTTAGGTTGCTGTGAGCTGTGACGCCACAGCACTCTACTGAGGGTGACATAGTAAAACTCTGTCTCCAAAGGAAAAAAGAAAGAAAAAAATATTGATTTGAAAACTTCAACATGGAGGAAATTTTCAAGTGAAGGCCACCATTGAAACCCTACAGATACATAGTTTCTGGGAGCAATGCTTAGCACCTCTTTAGTAATCCAGGAAAACACCCTTGGTTGCACTGTCAGTGCCAACACCCATCCTGTCCCCATCCTCACTCCTCTGTTGTAGAGAATTCCCTAAATGTGGCTGTCGAATTTCTTAAGGAGAGTGTGAAAAGCAGCCAACTCAGGTCAGAGGACTTCTTAGCCTTTTGCTTCACATGACCTTTTTGAAAATGGGTTTTCACTCTTTTCTGGGAGTGTGAATAAAGGTTGACCAGACGTCCCTTCTGGGGAAGGTGGTGCCCTTTTATCTCCTGCAGCTGAGGGTATATGTTGGGGGCTTGTCCTGTGATGGAGACTTTGGGTGGTTTCAGACATTCAACTCTGAACTCCGAGGAGGCCTTAAAAATCTTTCTTGAGTGACTACCACTTAAATAGTCCAAATAAAGTGTTATTGTGCACTTATTTTGCGCCAGGGTTTTGCTAAGAATCAGCATTTTTCTTTCATTATCCAAAGATTAGATATGTGAGATGAGATGATATATGTTGGTAGATGACTGGATATAGTTCATGAGATCAAAGCTTGTGGGTCCAGAGAATCATGGGGATGATTTTCATAGGACAATTGCTTTAAGTGACCAACCTAGGGTCACAAAACTGGCAGAGCTGGCACTTGAAATTAGGTTCTGATGCCAAGCCCAATTTTCTCTCTCTCTTTTTTTCTGAGAGAGAGTCTCACTCTGTTGCCCAGGCTGAAGCCTTGGCTTCAGTTTAACTAACAGCAACTTCAAAATTCTGGGTCCAAGTGATGCTCCTGCCTCAGCCTCCTGAGTAGCTGGGACTACAGGTGCCTAACATGAAGCCTGGCTAATTTTTCTATTTTTAGTAGAGACAGGGTTTCCCTCTTGTTCAGGCTGGTCTGGAACTCCTCAGTTCAAGTGATCTTCCCACCTTGGCCTCCTAGAATGCTAGGATTACAGGCCCGAGACACTGTGCTGGGCCCCAATCTTCTCTTTACACTGCATATATATGCTTGAATATCTTATCACCAATAATGCCAAGTGACAGGGCTGAAAGAGATCAGTGTTCAGGTCTCAGATGTTCTATCATTCAGTGATTCTATGATCCCTGTAACAAAAAACAAAAAAAAAAAAAGAAAGAAAGAAAGAAAGAAAGAAAAAGTTTGAAATATCTTCCCTCCCTCTCTTCTCCTCGAATAAAATCTCAAAGGTGGCTGATATAATTGAGTACATGGTCAGTGGTGGAGTCTGGATGTGAACTTCAGTGATGGTCTTGCCATTGTACCACAAAGATAGGAAACATCTGCAAACATCTTTGGAGCCAACCTGAAAATTGTCGATGGAGTTGGGCCAGACAGAATCACTTGAATGCAGAGAAAAATACCAGTGCGAATTTTCAGGGGGAAGCAATTCTTTATTTTCAGGTGGTATAACACCTCTTTAGAGGAATAAGCATGCAAAGGCCATCACATGGAGACAATGGAGACTTTAGTCTCAGTTTGTGCTCTATTTAGTTATAATCTGCTTTTATATTCATTCCATGACAGTCAGGGGGAAAGGAAGAAAGGACTTAGCAGCCTACCATATTCAAGGTATTGCGTATAGTACCTTATCTCAGCGAATCTTCCCACCAGACCTGTGGGGTAGATATTCTTATCACATTTTACAGAAGAGGAAGTCAAGATTGAGAGAGATTAAGCAACCTGGACGGAGGTTGCAAGTTTACTAAATGGGGATCCCATG